CTTTCCCTTGGTACTTGTTTTCCTTTAGGACAGTTTCATTTGTCTCTATCTACGTGCTCTCTGTGCTTAATTTTTGAATTTTTCCTTTTGGCATGCTGCTTTGCTGCTTTGCAGTTGCTTATGTTTCCATAAGTCGCTGCTCAGGCTGTTTCCCTGAAGAGTGAAAAAAATTTATTTTTATAGCTTATGCTTTTGATCCTTTGAACTCTTGAATAGTATCACAGCAAAATAGCGCTGAAGCATCAACTTGAATAATAAACTGTCCATCCTGCCAAATGTAGATTTTTGACTATTGGTAATACCTGCTGTGAGAGCTGGCAGTGAGGATGCATGGCTCGGAGGCACCGAGAGGTGAGCCATTGATGAATTTGCTACACAGTTTAAGGAATTACCAGTTCCCTCTGTCAGAGTCTACAGATCTGTCAACAGAAGGGAGTTTGGAGCTACTTTACCCACTCCACAGTGCAGTATCCAGCCTCTTTCTTTAAAGATGTTTTTCTCGACAGTTTAATGAGACATCAGTTACAGCACCAATGCATCTGAAACATGAGAGACTGTTTTCTGTCATCAGCTTTCTGGTAAAGTGTGATTTCTTAAACTGCCAGAGCAATCACCAGAGCTCGTCTGTCCGTGTCCCGAGTTGTATCTGCAGTTTGTCGGTCCTGCAGGCTTCCACGTTCAGCCAGTACAAATGACATCAACATGGTTGTTCATACTGGGAGTTGGGGCATTACTGGGTCAGCACTCAGGAGCACATAAGCAGTGATTAGACACTCGCATAAGTATATGCTGCCTTAAATGCAGATGTTGAGAAGAGTTGATGCCGATCTAGAAATCACTCTCTATTATCTGTTTAAGTTCTGATCAAATCCTTGTGTTTAACTCTGGCTACCTGAAGCACCTAAAGGAGAAAGCGTTTGGAGAAGAAAGGGAAAGGAGACATATAGGGAGGGATAAAATTTAAATGGCGGAGAGGCGGACTTCATGTGATCCAATAAATCAAATCTAAACCAGGCAAAGTGCCATTTTTCTGAAGATCGGAAAGCAGTGGGACGGTAACGAATGCAGGAGGCATTGGCCACTAAGAGATAAATCATTCTGCCCTAAGGGATATTGCCTGTCCAAAGGCTTTTTCTTTCTACGGTTCCTGCTGCTGTGGGGCTGTCTCCTTTAAAGTTCAATGTAACAGTAATTAATAATGCTATAATCCAGTGCAAAAACCAGGCTGATAATCCCCTACAAAACTTAATAGCATAGGTCATCTGTAGAGTAATGGCTTTGTCAGCAGTATTGGCAACCAAGAGTGTGTTTGCGCACTGTAACATACTTTATTGTATAATGTTGATGCTCCAAGGTATGCTAGTCAAGCTGCTGAGATGATCACTTCTGAAATGCCGTCCAGCAGGCAATTATCTCATACCACTTCAGTAGCTGCAGCAGTTGCTTACACGGAAGGGTAACATTAAGAGGATTTTTAGTATATTTTAACTCATAGTGTATAGTAGAGCAGCTGGTGGTAATGAGAGCCAGGGCTGTTTTTCAAGCCAGGGTCCTGCAGTAGTTCTTGACCTAACTGTAGTTGGAAAACCGCTCCACAGAGATTTTCATGCTTTGATCACAGTGGCCCCCAGAAGCAGTCATTTGCAAATGGATGTTCACTGTCTGCCTTTTGCTACATGAGTGGATTGTAGTGTGCTTGCTTTCCTCTCGTCAAGGATCTGTGGATAATGGCTGATGAAAGATGATCAGATTGTGCAAAGAGGGCTCATAGGATGCTGAAAAAAAGAAAAGTTAATTGAATATACCACTTTTTTAGAAGGCAAGATGCATCTGAACAGCTGACAATTGATAGCTAGAACTGATTAAACCTGCATTGACTTGGAACCATAATTAATATAAATCACTGCTCTTCAAAGGACATTTTAAAGGACTTTGTATAAAAAAGAAAATCTCAAACCCTGCAATCCTAATTGGTTTCATTTGCGTTTGAAGAGTTCGTTTGGCTTGCTTTTCCAGTCCTCTGACAAGCTTTTCCTTTTAACAGCTGCCTATAAATTAGGGCAGTTGTTTTTACTGGTAGCAGTGATATAAGAGTTCCCACAGCTCCACAGTGAGAGTAGGTCCCTAATTAATCTTACGGAATTTTATTGTTGATTCGTGACAGCATGTTTTGTGTTACTCAGAGCTTTTATATGCTTTTATATTCAGGAATCTCACAATCTAAGTAAATTCCAATGAAGTATGGCTGCTGTAGGATTAGATGCCTTCTTTTATGGCCTAATTACTTATAGTCTAGGTGCTGGATAAGATACCAAGGTTCAGGTAACCACTATCAGGTTGTCGTGGTTTAACCCCAGCTGGGTTAAGCCACGACACAGGTTATGTCATTTCAGTTCTCGCATGAAAGCACAGGAACTTAGGAAAATAGCTCTGGAAGGTAGCTCTGCACGTGAGCTAAATGAAAGCCTGGCTCAAGATACTGATGTGTAGGTTGAGAGAGGAGAAACCAGGGAGGAAAGCCTGTTCTGAGTGTGTTGCTTTTCTTGTAAGAAAGCAGGGCCTCATGGAGTGCCAACTGTTGTGGTTAACAATGGCGCTCTTCTTTCTTTTTTTTTTAAATATTGTAAGAGTTCGACTTTGTAAAATGCTTTTGTAATGAGCTCAGACTATGTCTTGCATCCATTGAAAACAGAATTTCCCCATTAGTTGAGTCCTTCTGTTTGGAGCTGAGGAAGGAAGTATGGCTGTAATGATAACAATAGATTGTTTTTTGACCTGCAGATGGTAGAAGAAAGTGAGGAAAGGCTAACAGAAGAGCAGATTGAGTCACTTCTCCAGACAGTCACCAGTATTCTTCCAGGGGATCCAGAGGAACAACAGAGAGACTCGGCAATGGCAACCGAAGACAAAGGTGACTAAGCGTAGGAGGCATCTAGACCAAAGCTGGCAACAATTTCAGCAGAAGAGAATCAGCTAATATTTTTCTGGTTTTTTACTTGAAACCAGTTTAATCTTGTATTGGACATCATTGTAGAATATGTTACAATTTTTATTACTCGGAGGTGATGAGGGAACCAATTGTTTACAAGAAAGCATGGAAAAGGACACTATTGTCTTGGCATTTTGTCATAAATGGGGATGGTAGTAACTGAGTTTGTAATGTAGCAGTCTGAAAAATTACGAGGCATGGAATTTGAAGCTTTTGTATTTTTCCCGTTACCCATATAACAGCTGTACATTTGAATAGGCTTATATACAGCTGGCAATGTTTTAATTATCACAGCAGTACTATAATTATAATTGCTTTCATGTGCTTTTGAATTGCCCAACTGGTTTTCAGAATACGGTCTACAATACAAAGCCAACTTTTGGAGCTGTTTGTGCAAAGGGCTGTTTTCAGGGATCAGAACATAGAGTAATGTACAAGAACTGCTTGGTATCTGGCCAGACGATTTCAAATAGGCTGTTGGCATCATGGAAGTGAGAGGATCTGTTGGTAGGGTAACTGTTCTCAAGAATGTCTGACAGTCCGTACTTGATAAAAGAGCGATCCAGATCATCAGCTAAATCAACATATTGCCACTGAAATCAGCTGAGTTGAACCAGTTTACAGCAGTTGAGGCTCTGGACTCAAATGTTAAGGCTCTTAGTAATACAAACAGAAGAACATTTAGGCGTGACGTGTATATTTTCCCTTTGAACGTTTGTTCCAATATTTATATATAGACAAGTCACAGTCCTGTGAACATGCTGTCAACTGTGGAATAAATGAATGAGTCAACACGGAAGTGAAGTCCTAATCTGGTTTAGAAGAATGAGAATCAGTCCTGGTTGAAGCAGAATTTTCTGTGTACTGAGCTTTTGTCTGATTAAAGATTTCAGGATCAAGTATTTAATGTTAAAAGCATTGACAATTATAATAAATCTTTTGTATGTATACATATATATGTAAAGTCGTGAGTTACACATAGCACTGGTTTTATGCTATGACTGCAGATTTTTTTATAATTATTATAATGTACTAGAAATAATGTTTGGAGTACATCCTGGGAATTTTGTGGCTTATAGACAAGATGTCAGATACTCTGATTCAAGGTCTTGGGGTTTTTTATTCCCACTTCTGTGATGGTTTTATTTTGTGTTTTTATACAAAGAATTTACTCTTTATGAGCTTTAGTTGTGCTTTATATGAAAGGGAGCGATAACTTCCAGTGTCTGGGGGGCTTATGATATGCATTTCCTTGGCATTTTAAGCTTCTTTGATGTTTGGAGGGGAAAGGAAATTACCAAAAAATACATTTGTTACCTCTTAAACATAATTTATCTACATTGAGTGCATTCCAAGGCTGAAGACTAAAGGTACGTTTTGACTGGGTAAGTCTAGTATTAGAGGGAAAAGTCCTTGGGGTTTTTTGTGGTACGTCAATACTTATTTTCTCTCTAAATGGGCAACAGAAGAGATGAGTAGATCATATCATGGAATGATGTGAAATTAATTTTAAAATTAGCATTTTTATGCTTAGCGGTCATTGGTGGTGTTTGGACACCCTGTGGCCTTGGGCTGCAAGTGTTTACATTTTTCTTCTTTTTCTAAAATTAAGTGATTGAAGCATGTTCTAAACTTAGGAAAAGCACATAGAAGCAGATCGCAATTATCTTTAGCCAGCGAGAATATTTTAACAGATCTCTGAAGTTGGATGTTCCATCTTGGGAGTTGCTGATTTGTTACTGTAAGGGATTTTTGCCAGCATCCATGTCGTCTTCTGTTGTATGCCTATTGTACAAGATCATAGAATCGTTTAGGTTGGAAAAGACCTTTTAAGATCATCAAGTCCAACCATTAACCTAACTAAGAACCAATTCACTTGCTATTGTATTTAACCTTTTTATCAAAATCAATTCCAGATGGATACATATATTAAACTTGTGCAAATGCATGGATAGCTTGTTTAGTCTCAATTAGGATACATAAACTATAATTGCCCTAAAAATGCAATACTGAGTAATATTTGAAGGGATCTGGGATTTCAACATCTGCATTACATCAAGAAATCTTTTTTTAAATCTACTGTCTGTGCTGTCTGCCCATGTAAGTGCAGGTGAGGAATTACTCTGGTTCTGAGAGCAGGTTTCGTGTTGTGTTGTTTACTCTCGGGTGTGTTCTTTGGAAACCTGAGACCTGGAAATGATTTATGGAAAGCAAGTGTCATCTTGCTTATGTGATACCATTTTTCTGGTGTCCTATATATTACATAAAAGATCTGCCTGTCTTCCAAGGCTACCTTTTGTTTTCTTAACTAATCAGTTACCTAACACAATAAATGTACTCTGCTAGTTCTTTTTGAGGAGACAAGACAGCATGAAGAGAGTGGCCCTCTGATGCATCATGCGTACAAGAAAAAGTATGTGCATATTGGGCACTTAAAAGATTGGTCTGTAATTTTGGGAAGAAAAGGGCAGAATACTCGACACTTTCTGAATATTTAAGAAAAGCATGTTACTTTTGGCTTTCTCATTTCTTGTGTGATCCTCGCTTTTATCCTGTATCGTGCATTTGGGTCTTGGCAGATTGACGGCTCTGCTTGTGGTAGCTCTTGCGCTCTAGTCGCTGCTCTGGGAGAAAGGGGGAACAAGCTGCCAGAATTCCTCTGCTGTTTTGATACTTGGAAATACCTGGGGTTTCTCTTTTCATAAATTCAAGCCCAAGAAGGCCAACTTTCTTTAGGATTTTTTGGCAGTCCTTGCTGGCGAAGTTTTATTAGCAAGAAGCTTTGTTTTATGGGAGGAGAAGGAGCTGTCGCTCTTACCTGGCTGTGTTCCGGTGCTGGGAAAGAGAAATAGATATACTGGAAATGGAGGTGTCCGTAGGGACATTTTGTAGAAGATAAAATGAAATCCCTACCGATGAGCTGAGCAGCTTTGGTGGTGGTCACGCTGTGGCAGGGCTGTGTATGAGGCTGTTGCCCACCACTGAAATGCAGAATTTGACAAGCTCGCCTTTTCTTGCAGGGAGCAAAATGCATTTTGTTTGTATTTGTGTGCCGTATTTACTAGATTAAGGTGTGTCATCTTAAAAAGCAAACCCCAAAAGTTTGGAGTGTTGGTTTTCTTCTGAAGCAGGTTTTCTTTTGGGCAGGTTTTCTTCTGAAGCATGTCTTTAAAACAACATTAAAGCGGTACATTGAGGTGGCATTCAAGCCTAATGTGTTGGTGTGCTGGAAGGGTTAAATAACATCTATAGAATGTCTTGAAGTTAAAAAGTGTTTATACAAATGTTTTTGAAAAGGTCCTGTCACAAATGGTTCTGTACATAACTTTTTACTTACTAAAATCTCTACCGGTCATAGGCAAGCTATTGCTTTTGAAGTCAACCAAACTGGCTGATTTACACTGGTTGAGAACCATGCCCTAAAATAATTAAGCAGTCACATCACTATACGGCGTCAGGCGTGGATGTCTGCAGCTGCTGTAATCCTAGCAGACCCCTGACACATGAAGAATAATCAAACTGGATATATTTTTCAAACTGTCATATCTTAGAAGAAATAAAGTCGAGAAACTTAACTAGAACGCAGCTGAGTTGTTGCAGACCAAAGTCAGCGTGTGC